TCTTAGCGTTATCGCACCAGATCTCTTTAGGCCATCTCCAACACGCCAAAAGTGCAACTCCAGCGCATCCGCGATACATAGCCCTACCGTCTCTAGGAGATAAAACGAGCAGAAACCAGTTAAGCGATCTATCACACTCAACACCTGTTTCCGTCGGCTTCTGCGCCCCTAGAGAGGAACTAGATGGCAGCCCAGACCCTATCCCGGCCCTGGGATTCCCAGGGCGCGAAGTGGCCCATACATGTCGATTCCCACACAGTCATAGGGAGCCGTCGGGATCCTGCTCGCCCCATAAGAAATCTGAGCTCGGCTTCCACAATCTCTGGTAAGAGCACAGCTCAAGCATCCTCTAAGGGCTTTGCGAGCCAGTTTCCGCATAGCAGGCGCCCAGGCCACTCCATATAGTCCTGCCAAAGTAGCCGTCAAACCAGCATGGCCGCATTCTTGATGGACCGCCAAGGATAGTTCCCCCACTAGATCCCGGGGGACAACCAACTGCCAGCGAGGACCGTCATCAATAGGGACATTGGGTCTCACACGGTACAGCAGACCCTCACGAACCTGGAAGGAGTACGGCAACCCAGGTATAGCCGACACTTGACTGGTATCACACTCGTCGAGAACTCGAGAACAGAAACCGTCCTCAGCCTGTTTCGCCAAAAGAAACTTCGTGAACAGCTCAGCCTGTGGTGATGGGGCATCCGAACCGCACCATCCCAAAAAAGCTACGCGCAAAGCCTTCCAACGACGAAATGATGGAATGGAGTGGATTCCAGCCGATCGGTCCGATAACCACGAGTGCACCTCAACAGCGTCGCAGTGAACGATACCCATCGCAGACGAACCATCTGGCACCGGTACATACTTGAGAGATAACGAGACCCTAGATAGTGCATCAGCAATACCGTTACGTTCTCCCGGTAGATGTGAGAACTTCACCGACACAGAGGGGGTCGAACAGTTCAAAGCATGAGTCACTTCCGCCACAACGCCACGGAGACGAAGAATGGCACGCCTCTCCACACTCTTACACGCCGGTACATTCCATGGATCGGCCTGGTGAACAGCCACACGACTATCGCCGCGAATCTCTACCTCCCGCAAATGCGGAAAAAGATGGACTTCTTCGTCAAGCCGTCGCAGGCAGGCCGCAATAACGAAGAGTTCTCGTCTATTGCAGTGCCACGATCCCACAGCCATGGAGCGACTCTGGACCTTGGCCTCCGCCCGCACGATCTTACCTTCTCGGTCTCGCCAGACGAAACCATAACCACCGGCCGATGCGTCAACATCTGCCACGATGCACGATAAATCGGTGAAGAGTCGCAAGTCACCGTCTTCCACTTCAGCCGATCTCTTCCAATACCTTTGGGCTAAACCGAGATGAACCAGTGCTGGACCGACCCAGACTCTGTCGGAGTCCACGGAGTCCCACGTGGGTGACCCGCTCGCCAGAACTCGTGCACAGTCCGCATGGGCTCGTGCCATCCCCTCATTGACGCCGTTGGAGATCTCGACATATCTTCCTGCCATCTGGAACACTCGACGCTTGGTGAGCTCTTCCGCCTTGCTGAGCAGTGTGTCTTCGCTCGCATTTGGCCTTACTAAGCTCAGGATTCCGCGCTCCGCATCCCAGACCCAGCCACTTCCCAACCATCTGGTGGGCTCATCAGCACCCCACTGTGTACGCTTGGCTTCTGGACAGATGAATCCGACCGTTTGCCA